AATACCAGTGTTAATTAGATGATACTACTAGATGATGGACAAGTATATTAAACATGGTAGATGCACCTTGTCGGGCTTGATCGAAATCACCATCAATGAACACATCAACACTATCGTCTGAAGAAAATGAGATGAAATGGCTACAATCAGTCCTAAAATTTTATACCTGGGTAGAGATCATTGTAGGCCAACACAAGGACGTAAACGTAAAACAGTGGCTTTGGCAAACAACTGGCACTTTCTGTTTGAAAAAACTTGTGCTCGTAATTCAGATTTAGCAGGTCTTGCACTGGTTTGGATGCCTGAATAAATATTAAAGTACATATTCTTGAAAATTCTGTAAATACCTCAATAATGTTTTGGAGTTTGGGGCGAAGGGAAGCTATCATTCGCTCCTTCTCCTGAATTTCCTTATCCATCGATGACTTTTCCGCAGTCATACTGCACAGCTGTTCAGAGAGACTAAAACAGAGAAAAAGAAAAACAAATGATATTCAGATATCTGAACATTTCATTTCTACGCAACCAGCAAACCAAAAAGAAATGTGTTGTGCATGCTTCCGATCAGCCAACATAAACATCGAGATACTTATAGGAAATTAACGTCACTACCGTCTTATATTATGATAGCACCAGAATATCAAAAATGGAAGCAAAACCTGGTAACTAGAATGAAAAGAAATCATCGAACGATATTTCAGCAGCAAGCTGAGGAATCCAATTAATGTTTGTTGAAATCATCGCCTTGAGCTGTTTGCATAAGCGGAATGTCTCTGGTTTGTGACGTCTGGTGTATTCGCAGATTTTCAACACTTTTGCTACAAGGCACCTACAACAGTTCTGCAGAAGGATATATTCGTCTATAATATATTCGAAACTAGATGTGCCTCCACCTCGTTCCTTCACGTTGCAAGCAGGCATCCTGGTGGACATCTGACGTGTTTCGGCTGCCACAAGAGAAGCTCATGGGCTGGAGTAAATGACTTGTGCCTAAACCAGTTCATCGAATAGGACCGACCTCGTTTCCTTCATCTAAATTTGTAAAGAAGCTGCCTATGCTTGGAAGAGAACATTGTCATTCCCAACGTAGTCCTGCCATTTAGCCTTCATTATGCGTCGAAGTC